TGCGTTCCTGTGTGGCTGCCCTGGGTGACCCTGCTCTGGCAGGAGGGTTGGGCTGGATGATCTCTAGAGGTCCCTTCCAACTCCTATTCTATGGCTCTATGATTGTGGACCTACTACCCATGTTATTTAAGCCCCCCCACCCCAGTCAGTCTCATTTTCTGTTTGTGTTCATGTGCTACCATATAGTCCAAGAAAGAGGAATGTATAAGCCAGAACTGTATGTTGTCTATTTTTGATGATGTTCTAGCTCTTTCATTGCTCAGAGGTGAAATGGAACATTAATTATTCTGTCACTTCATGGCAAATTACACAAGTACTAATTTCACTCCATCACACAGCTCGTGTAGAGGATGTCTTTTTGCACAAAAGCGTCCCCTTTGGTTTAAATGTTATAGGGTTTTGGAAGCTGTATCTTGCTTTTAATTGCTGTGTTCATGAGATTGAACTTCTAGAAAAGGATCAGGTTGTACACATACGATCCCTCAGCGTATGAACTGAGAATCTGGTGAGTAATTTGTCTTATGTATGTGGCATTCTTTGTTTGCAGAAGCTATGTGGCATTAGAGCATGTTAAGGAAAAGCTGTTTTATTTTTTCTTTTTATTGAGCTATTTGAAGTGAATAAACTGATGTTGTTTCACCCTCTTGGTTTCTGTTTTTCTCAGGCTAGCCTTACAGGTCCTCTGCAGAAAGAAGAGTTGCAGTTGGGAGTGGATGCTGCTAACAGGGCAGCACAACAGTATCAGCAAAGTAAGAATCAGCAGAAACTATTGCAGCAAAGTGACCGTGGATGTGATCAAAAAGATGAAACAGCACAGAATTTGGGTCTATGGGAATACGCGAGGTGTCTCTGAAATCACAATGAGTATTCTTCAAGTACTTCACAGCTGCTAAGAATGTTAAAGAGGAACGGTTGCCCTGATTGTTTGTAGTGTCTTCTATCCGGCTCTTACAATACTGCTGGAGATAACCGGATATAACTTGAAATATTAAGAAACATGGACTTTTTGAATCCACCTTAAATAGCCTTGGTTTTTTAGAATGCATGTATGAGTTTTTGTGCTATGAATCAGTGAAAGAAATCTGGACTGCTACATGAGATGTGAAAGCTAGGTTACCTACTGACCATTGACATAAATCTTACTTGGTTTGAGGTACAGAACCTTTAACTGTTTCTAAATATCAGGTAGCAAATGAAATGCAGATCATAATGGCTGACAAAAAAGATTGATGCTTCTGGCACCACGCAGAGCTCTTTTTCTGGAGGGAAATGTTCAGTTCTGGCTGTGCAGGAGCAATTATTTCAGTATCTGATAAGTAGAAAGGAGACCACTAGAGTTCTGAGGGGAGAGGATGTGGAATACAAGAGGAAAACAGTGAATGCCTAATAACTAGGAGGCTACCTTCAGAGTACCTTACTTGTTC